CGGGCACGTGGGTGGTCGTGTTGCCAACCAAGCGGCAAGGACGGGCCCAGGGCACTGTCCGCACCTCTGCTTCGGCATGTCAGACTCTGCGGTGGTCACCACAACCCCCGCCCACAGGCAAGCTCCCGGGGCGAGTGTCCTGGAGGGCAGCTGCTCTGTCCCGTTGTCCTGGAATGTCCCGTCACAGCCTGACAGGTTGCTCCTTGGATGGGCCTTGGGTGGACTCTCCTGTCCCCAGCCCGGGCCTGGCCCAGGAGGGTGGCACCGGAACACCAGCAGTGACTACATCCCTGCTGCCCCCACCTCCTCAGAGCCACAAGTCCCGGTGCCACGTGACTGCCGACACGGGAGAACGTCGAGGACACGGGGCTGGCACGGTCGCTCAGACCCTCCCCGAGCCCCCCTCCCCGTCAATCTGCTTCATTGCTTGGGAGAGCAGATTTGGGGCTACAGAAGATAACACAAAGCGAACGCCCAGGCTGCCCTGGGCGAGCTGTGCGGAGCAGCGGTCCGGAGGAGCAAGCTGGCATGTCCTCAGCGGCCACTCAGGTGCCGCCTCGGTGCCTGAGCACGAGTTAGTTCAGGGGCTTTCGGCTTCAGAGCAGCCTTTCCCCAGAGCAGCCAGAGACAGAGCTGCGGGTGTCAGGGCAGCTCTGCGGTGCAGAGATGGGACTGACCCAGGACTCACACCCACCCTGCCACACGGGGTGTGGGTGGGAGAAGGGCCCGGGCTACCGTCTGCCCAATACTGCTGGGCTACGCAGGGGAGGATGGTGCCCACCCTCCAGATGGGGAATCCCTGTCTAACGACACCTGTGAACTCTGACGGAAGAGCCCAAGCTCAGAGAGACCCCGGACCGTGTCTGAGGCCACCCAGCTGGGATCTGGACCTGACAACGGCAAGGTCACGGCTGACAGCCCCTGGCCTCTCAGCAAAGCCCTTCCGAGACTCGGAGACCCGCTCCGGCCCGGGCTGAGCTGTCCCTGTGTGGGCTGTCCCTGGCGTCTGTGTGGGCGGCTGGGCCGTTATCTGCGCTGGGTGTTGGTGAAGCCTCATTGCAGCACTGACTCGGGGTGCGCGTGGCTGCGAGCAGTGATTTTCTAAATGTCACGTCCTCCCGCGCCCGCTGACATTTAGCAGGGGGTGGTGGCAGCTCCCGGCTTCACCGTCCCTCGTAAATAACGCCAGCACCGTGGCTGCGGCAGTGCCACTTGGGCCCCTGAGGCTGCGGACCTTTGGGATACAGGCCTTGCTGGCTAGTGGCTCTGAGGCCATGGGCGACCAAGCTGTGGCCCCGGACAGGGCCTGAGCAAGGCCCCTGTTCCTCTCGAAACCCAGAGGCAGCCCAAGTGGGAAGGGCCCAGGAAGCGGAGGTCCCTCCAAGCACCAAGCTGGGTGAGTTACGGACAAGGAAACCGAGGTATGGGGACCTGCCCAGCTCGTCCAGCAGGCGAATCTGACTCTGGGCCGGGACCTTCCACTGCTGTCGGCCTCTCCTTCCTGCTGGGGCTGCCCGAGCTGGGGAGGGAACAGGAGCCCTGGGCTGCCCCAGAAGCTGTCTACACACATCCTAGACTCAGTCCTGCTGGGTTCCTGACTGATTTGAACCCTGAGCCATTGCTGGCCCCAGGGAAGCCAAGGAAGGGGTGCAGGGTGAAGGGGAGGCTGGCTGTGGGGTATGCCCCACCCCAGGTCAGGCAGGGTCACAGGGGTGCTGGACCCCCATGCACCTCTGTCCTCTCCCTTCCAGGTACACCCAGGCCTGCGGCTTCCCTGGCGTCTCTCCTGAATGTCCCTGGGACAGAGTGGAAACAGGCTCAGGGAAGGGAGGGAGTTGCTGAGTCATAGCCCCACTTCATGGACAGAGGCCACGAGGTGTCTGGGTCCACGGGACTGGGAGGGTGCGTGCCCACCATGACGTCGAGGGGCTTCTTCCCTCTCCAGCTCTTCCTGTCCCCGCCATCTCCTCTCCCTCTACTTGGCGTCAGCCTTTCTTCTAGAACACGAGGCTGACCATGACTGCTCCCTGCCATGGGTCCCATGAAGCTGCTCTGACCTCAGAGCACAGTCCTGAACCCTGAGCCAGGACATAACCCGACGTCTCCACCTCAGTGCTGCTCCATCTCCCGGCCCCACCACCTAGTGCTCTCACTGGACCAAAGTACTCTCCACGCCTCTGGGGTCTTGGCTTTTCTGCCTGTAACATGTTTATCTCCCCTTGGGTTGTGGCTCTGGTGTCACCTCCTCTAAGATGCCTTCCCTGACTCCCACAGGCTCTGACCTTGGCTTGTGCTTGCCAGCTCCTAACCGCTCATCCACAGGTATGGCCTGGCCTTCTCAGGAACCCACAGACTGACTTTAGGGGAGGGAAGTGATGGGGGCCCCAAACAGTAGCCAGAGACCTGGCTCCAAGCCAGCAGGGAAGTGAGGGCTTTGAGGGAGGAATGAGGAGTGGGGTGAGGGGCCACATGGACCTAGGCTCCTCCACTTACAGGCTCTGGCAGGAGATGAAACTTCTCGGAGCTTTGCTATCCGAGGACAGCCAGGACCCGAGCCGGGTCTGAGAACACGGGGCACAGTTATGGCAACAAGCACTCCACGGCGGAGCTGCAAGGGTCCCCGGGGTAAAGCAGACAGATCCTGAGCCCAGGAGGTGGGGTGGCCTGCAGGGATGTGGAGCAGGGGCAGACCCCCTGTGTGACTTGGCCTGCCACTTCACCTCTCTAGAACACGGCATCGGCCGTTACATGGAAAGGAGACTCCCCCAGGACTGGGAGGTGAGAGGAGGGTGAGGGGCCGTGAGCAGCCAGGACCGCGGCTGCCCCGGGCCACCTGCCTCACCTTGATCATCTGTGAGAGGTCCCCGGCGTCGGCCAGCTCCAGCACGATGTTCAGCTCGTTGTCCTCGATGAAGGAGTCCAGGTACTTGATGATGTTCGGGTGGTTCAGTTGCTGCCCAGGAAAGAGACAGGGGATGGCACCAGGAAGATGGGGCCAGCCCAGTGCCTGCCCAGGCTGGCACCCCCGTGTTGCCAGTGGGGGCCCTGGCATTTGCTGGAGACAGGGGTGCTGGGGGGATGGCCTGCACCTGGGAGTCAGGCAGACCTGGGAAGAGCCACTTTGGGTCTCCGGGCCTCAGTTTCCTCACCTATACAATGGGCACGGTGTTTGGAAGGGTCGTTGGTGAGGACCAGGTGGGCTGAAACCCTTCGATGTCTAACACACACCCGCACAGAGCTAAGCGAGGCTCAGGAGACCTGCGGAATGACCTTCCTCCTCCTCCTCACCTCCACGGCCCTGGAGGGTAGTGCCCCCCAGCTGTCCCTGTGCTCAGCGCATGGCAGGCCTGTAGATGGGACTCAGGTACTCATCCCTCCCTTCCTCCTCCTCCTTCTCAATCTCTGACCCATCCTTATGAAGGCCTAATACCTTCATGATGTGAGGGCCGCCCGGAACGGCACAGAGCTGAGGCCTGGGGCCCACAGTCCGGGTGGGGCGGCACCCCCCGGGCTAAGAGTGGCCCCTTACACCAACAACTCCAGGGCCTTTAAGCAGATGGGACTTGGGAATCCTGCCAGTGTCAGTGGCCTAGCTCACAGGTCAGTGACCCCAGAGGCTGGCTTACAGCACATTTTCTAAAATGCCCGAAAGGTGCCGGAGAGGTTCGCACGCGCCAGCCTGCACCCTGCTCAATGCTAATGCACAGAGGACCTCTGGAGACTCAGAACCACACCAAGTCCCATTCGTCCATCCCCCAAGCTAGTCCCCAGGGTCCCTGCCCCTCAGCCAGGCCCCCAGGCTGGGGCCGGCCGCAGCCATTGGCCTAGCTCACGGCAGGTCCCCAGAGACGGGCTCTCCACCCTGCACCCACTGCCTGCCTGAATCCTTAGGCCCCGGGTCCACAGAGACTGGTCCTCCACCCCGGGACCACTGCCTGCCCAAGTTCTCGGGCCCAGGCTCTGGACCAGCCCCTGGCCCTGCCTGCCCCTCGGCCAGCAGGGCAGTCCTGTAAATGTCAAACATGGCCTCAGGGACCGAAGCGGCCAAACAGCTCCTGCCACGGGCCCACCACATGCCGTCCTGTCTCTTGTCCTGGCTCCTGGCAGCTGGGAGGGAGGCCCCACCTGCCTCGCAGGCTCCCGTGGGAAAGCACCTCGGTGGGTCATAAACGATTGGGAAAGGGCGTTCTCAGGGGACAGCTAGGCTTCTGGAGGGGGTGCAACGTGCCCCTGCCAGCCTGTGCCCTTCACTTCCAGGCCAGCTCATGTGTCCCCTACTGCAGGAGGGACACCGCACTGCCGCTCCAGCCCGCATGCCTCTGTGTCGTCTCTCCTGCCAGCACGTGTGCAATCTCATGTCCCACGTCCATCCCTCCCACCCTGTCCCTTCCACACTGGTGTTTTACGTCCACTCCAGGGCTGTGGCCAGTGGCCTGAGGGCGGGGCTTGCCTCCCTTCCACCCTCTCATGGGCTGAGCCAGGAGCCTGCCGAGTTCCAGGCTGGTCTGTGCCTTTGAGGTTGTACTCTAGGCCGGGAGGGGGCAGCGCATGCCACCCCAACTCCTCACCTGGCCAGGCTCCAGCGTGTGCTCTTCGGTGTTTTCCTGATGCCCTTGGCAGGCAGGAGTGTGCAGGGCAGGGCGGGGGGCACCCAAGGGCCACCCTGTTCCAAGAGGATAGGGAGGTGGGGGGCAGGTGCAGGGGAGGGCTACAGGTCCACCCATAGCCCTTCATCTCACAGCACAAGACCAGGCCAGGTCAGTCAGTTACTAAACGTGAAATTGTTACAAGGGACAGGGAAGGCCCATGACTAAGGAACTTGCTTAGATGGAGGGAGGGGAATGTCAGGGAAGACTTCCTGGAGGAAGTGATGTACTAGCTGAGGTCTAAAGGATGAGTGCAACTTCCTTCAGACCATAGGATGTGAGGGATCGGTTTGTGCAAGGCTGTGGGTGGGAGCCACGTGGCACATCCCGGCTGCTGAGCAGAGGCTGGTGGCTGGTCGATGACCGGGGACGGGGGGCCTGCCGGGAGCTGAGGGTCGGGGACAGGAGGAGGAGGAGGACAGGCCACAGAGTCAAGAGGGGCCCTGAGGACTCTGGTCTCTCTCCCCAGGGCAATGAGGGGCTCTGAAAGGGTCTGAGGGTATAGCTATTATTCGGGCTATTTATCTTTTCACTATTTCTAAAAACGTTGCCAGAGGGAGCATTCTTTTGCCAGAGAGACAGAGAGCGGGAGGGAGTGAGCGAGGACCCCCACTGGGGCATGGCCACGCGGCAATACCTTCTCCTCCCTCTCTCCCTCCATTTGGGATTTGAATATACAAACACACATGTCCCAAACACCCAGCATACTTCTTAACCACTGGGTCAGAGACCCAGAGACCAACAGGGCTAAACCCCTGCCGCAGAGAGGGAAGAGATTAGCCACAGGGCGCAGCATGACGGGCTGAGCTAGGCCTGAGCCTGGCCCCAGGGCTGCAGACCCCCGTCCACAGGAGTCTCTTTCTCACCTGTAGCTTCTGGTGAGCTCAGTGCCTGGAAGGGACACGCTCAGCCCAGGGACTCAGCGCTACAAGCTGTGGTGAGTTTGGGGTCTGGCCGGCTGCAGGGTGGCCGCGGAGGGACAGAAGGATGGTGGAAGGAAGGAGGGAAGAGGGAGAGTGATGGGCCATTGGCGTCAGACCCCCTCTTTGGCCTCTGCCTCAGGGCTTTTGCTCCCTCACACTTGGGCCTGTCCCGATGATGACATCACAGGAAACAAGCCTATGACCATCCTCCCTGCAGGGAATGGCCGCGGGCCCTGGCTCTGGCATTCAGCGGTGCTCAGACACGATGACTGTCTGAATGCAGGCCTGTGTCCCCCAGGGCCCACCCTCTTGTCCCACTCGGCACGCATTGCCCACACCAGCCGGGCACTGCCACGGTTGGGCTTTGGGTCTTGGATGACAGGATGACGGTGCCCGGGGTCCTCCAAGAACCAAGTTTCCTTCTGCGTGGTGGGAAGCAGCCCACAGTCAACGGGCCGTGGACGTGCACGTGTGTCCCGACAGTCAGGCCCTGGTCCGTCCTCATTTCCCATGGGCTGCGTGGGGGGCTGGGTCGGCCGTCTGGGAAGGGGCTGGTGTCGCCGGGCAGAGGGCCGCCCTGTTCTGAGCATGCGCCTCCCACCAGGAGTTGCTATGAGCTCCTCCCCGACTCCCCACCCCACGAGCAGCACTGTGGTTATCAGATGAAGAGACGGGGATCAGGGAGGGCAGTAGCTGGCCCCAGGCACCAGCCATTGATAAGGGGCTTGCCGTCTCCAAAGGCCCACGTCCCACCGCAGCCCTGGGACAGAGAGCCGCTCCCAGCCAGGCCAGTCCACAGAGGTTTGGGCCCCTTCACGGCAGGGGCTGTGGCTACACACTCCCGCCACCAGGGACCCGGAACAGGCTGTGGGGAATTGGGACAACTGGCCCTGGGTGGGGAACTGGTCAGGGTCCCCAAGGTGACCACTG